GGGATGGGCATTCCAAGCAAAAATAATATTCGAAAATCGCTGGGTATTATTCGATTATTATTCGAAAATCGCACCCCTCCCCCGCATGCACACACAAACACCCATAAACAAAGAGAGACAGGATTCATGCTTTCAATCTGTATGATAAACTGTTTAATTCAGAAGATAGGCCTTAACTCAAGCCATAGGCTATAATGATTGTAACGTGCTGAAACATATTAATATAATAAACATAACCGAATGACTGCACTTATTAACATAACAGTCCATCGATTAGCATAAATCAACTGCTCATAAGGCTAGGACATTTCCATTTAAAAAAATGGAACCCCTAAAGGTAATAGATATGAGATGGGAGGAAAAATATAATTCAATATCTTATATCGTTGGGTAATTATACTGTATATAAACTGCGGGCATCAGGGAGCCATTTTTAATATGCGGGGCATTGAAATTGCTTTTGAACGCGCACTTGTTTTTAACTTTCACTTTCGAGATTCGCGATCACAAACTGAGCAGCACTCGGCAGTACTTACTTGTACTGTAGCTGTAAGCACTGTAAACCCTTGTGACTGTGCATCATGTCAGTAAGTTTATTGAGATTTTGAATATAGATGCTAATAGGTGGTTTTTCTCCAGGTATTTTGGTTGAAGTTCTGGATTGAGTCATGTGATGGGTCCTTGGATGAGGTTCTGGTGACATGTCAGGGATTTTTGCCTCATCAGTTGTTTATTTCTGCTGGTTGGTTTTATTTGGTTGAAGAGAAACATCAGACTCTGAGATTGATTTAGCTGTTGTGCGTTAAACTCAACATTGGCGTTATAATCCTTCTCTCTCTCTCTCTCTCTTCTCTCTTCTACCCCTCCATATACTGTAACACAGACAACAGTGTTTGCATTATTTTTGTTAAAGCAGCCTCCATTAACATCAGCGTGTCTCTCTGTTATCTCTGCAGTGTCCAGTGAATCAGGGAATCAGTCCGTGTTCCACTCTGACCAGCAGCACGGCGTCTCCGTGTACGGACAGCCCCTGCTCCACCTTAAACAGTAACAGCGGCCACCCGGCCTGTGGAGCCATCACCAGCCCCAGCTCCACCCTCGAGAGCAAAGACAGCGGCATCATCGGTGAGAAACACACACACACACAACACCTCAAAATCAACAGCTTCCCCACAAATCATACAGTCTGGACCAGGGTTATTATAGTTAACAAAAACTGAAACTAAAACCATAAAAAGGTTTCCATTTCTTGACATAAAATACACTTTTTTTTTTTTCGAAATGAAAAAAAACCAAAACTTTTTTTTGATTTCAACATTTCTCATTTTAATTTAGTTTAACTTGAAAAAAACTCACACTAAAACTGAAATAAAAATTTATAAAAACTATGTCGACATATACAAAGACTACTAAAAATGGAACACACAATAAAAGTACCAAAACTGTAACTAAAATTCAAATGAAAATAGAACATATAAAAATAAAAACAGTTTCAAAATATTAATAAAAATTATAATAGTCTTTCAGTGATACTAAAATAACACTAGTTAGTACACAATATTTGATTAATATTTTGTTTTCATTAAAATCAGCATAATTTAGTCCAAAAATTATGCCATTATACGTATACTTACTATTTTATTCTACAAATTAAGTAATTTTTAAATAAACAATTAATATATAAGTAATAAATCTATATATTAAATATATATCTACATTTTTCCACTGCAACAATGAAAATGAGAATTATAGGCTGGTAGCCCTAGTTTCTGAGAAAATTCAACTTCCTTTCAGTTCGGTGAATGTTCTTGGAAGTCCTCCCGTCATTCAAAATCAAATTATTAATAATAATAATTATTTACTTATTATGAAGCATTTTATATTTAAATATTAATATTCAAATGTATAGTATAAATAAATAAATAAATGATAATTTGCATAAATACAACAAAGCCTGTTTTTATCATCTAATTTTAATTGTTTTAAGGTCTTTTTTTGTTTGTTTTTTTTTTAGTAGAAATGTGAGTATGCATCATGGTAGTATTTGTTTTCACTACTTTTAATTAATTTAAAAAATAATTTTAAAATAGTATCCAGACTGATTTAGATTTTATTAGATTGTGATATTAAATGAATGGGAATGAGATTTTTACACATTATGGTAATTTGAATTTGTGGGGAAAATATGTTTATACTTTTGATTTTTGGGTAACATATGACCTGATCATTTCTGTGTCACCCAATAACTGAAAATCTACCACACCATCACCAGTTTTGCGTCTTCATCACCCCATTAAAAGCCCATCCCATCATCCTCTGCTCCACAAGCTCTGCTTCATCTTGTGGAGATTGAGAGCTGAAATCACAGCTCATGTTGGCCTGCAGATCCAAACGTGGGGTGTTTCGCAGGATGAGGTGTTGATGCAGCTTGGCCGCTTCAGAAAGTCGGTTTTGAGCTCCACTCTTCAACATTTCTCTATGAATTATGCAGCATTACAGGCTGGCAGTCCTAGTTTCTGAGAAAATATTGGAGAATATTTGTTATTACCACAAAGTTGTAGTTAGAAAGGGGCGTCTAACCCTGAATTATAGCCAATTTTTAATCGCATTTAGCTGTAGCTGTAGCTACATTAGATGTAGTGCACATAAGCAGCATGACAAATTTCTGCATAAATTGTTTGTAAAATCCATTCTTGCAAGAATTGTTTTGCAAATGGGTTACACAGGAATGGGTTCTGCTGGTGTTTAATGCATTAGGCCTGTTGTCTTTACACTGAGTTTTAGGATGAGAGAAAGAGCAGCAGACGTTCTGAAGGAGGTCTGCTGGTTTGTTGATGTAGAGCAGTGTGTTTGGCCTGTGTGACCCGCTCAGGATGTGATTAATGCTCTCATGACTTTGAAGTTTGTGAAGAATCAGCAGAAAGAAAAGGCAAACAGTGTGATGCTGCTGTGAACAGCTGTTTAGATGCACTTACAGACACGTATACATCTGACACCATATTGAACATCTGTTATTTAAACAGTGCTTGAGGATTTTGAAACATTTTAAACAATGAAGAAGAAATGTTTAAATGGGTTCTCAGTCATGAAAACCCTGGAATTTGAAGAATTTCTGGAAATATCATGGAAATCAACAATCCTAAAATGTTATAGCAATTACTATATTGCATGTAATTGCTTCTAGTATATTTCATTGGTTAGAATTGCTTTTTGTGAGTGCAGGATCTATAAAAGTATTTTTAAAAATGTACGTTTTTGAAGAATCGTCAGAATAGTTCTATGTGTAAGTAAATGAGTGTCAGTGCTCATGTGACTTTATAGAGATGGTCAGATGCTCTTTGGATCATCTCAAAAAAAGTTTAGTTCGGATAACTCCAGTGCTGCAGTCATTACAGCAGAAGAAACCAAATACTGACACATTTTTACATTTATATTCACTCAAACTGGAGATAATTCATTTATAATGCGGAAATGAATGCAGAACAGAAGCATCTTCAGATGTTTGGAGCTGACTGTATAAGCGTGTGTGTGTGTGTGTGTGTGTGTGTGTGTGTGTGAGCGCTGACACTGCTATATGTTTGGAGCTGACTGTATAAGCATGTGTGTGTGTGTGTGTGTGTGTGTGTGTGAGCGCTGACACATGACACATGCAGCTGTTGTCACGCGTGTTATTTAGTAATAAACTCAGGAGCAGAAACTGAACCCAGAGATTCATCCGCCTCCGTCAGATCACTGAACAAACACACGTGCATGAATGCACACTTTTGCTTTTTCTCTAGTAATTCAGCTGTTCAGTTTTGTACTTTGTTGGTGTGTTTTGTCTGTTCATGTTTTGTTTATTTTTTAATTGGAATGAGAAAGGCTGAGTTATTAGCAGCGATAGCAAACACTGATCCACAGAGACATCCATCCTGATGTAAAGTAAACTGCGTGTTTGTAATGGGCAGTTTGTACTGAGGTTGTTGCTCATTAGCAGCATGCAGCATGTGGCGGGAAACGCGGTCAGGTGAAAGTGTTGATAAGGTCAGTGACTCAGCAGAGTTTATGAGTGGTAATGATGCTCATCTGAGATTGACGTTAGCGCTCCTCTGTGTCACGTCTTTTTCTGACGTTTTTCATTTACACGCTCTCCTGTTAGCCAGTCATCATCTCTGCCTCTTTAAGGGAATGTGGACAAGATTTTCACTTTTTATTATTTGTAGGTCTCCTCCAATGCTGCAGATTAGCACTGGCACTATATGAAGATTCTTTATTCAATTCATTTAAAAAAAAATAATAATTATTATTTAATTATGACTGACTGGCATTACAAGATATATCTATACACTATTAAATACTATTATATTGTTATTAATATTTTTAATTTTTTAAAAATATTTTCTTTTAGTAGTTTTTTGTTTTTTTAATAAATTTTTAAGTATGTGTATATAATTTATTAATTTTCAGTTCAGTTTTTAATTAGTACATAAACTAAAGTTAAACTAGCTGCAATACAATTAAAAGTAACATAATTTTAATTAATAATGCATATATATACACATTATACACACACACACTATTATTGTTTTTGACATTTTGAATTTGTTTTTATTTTATCTTTTCTTTTTTGTGTTTTCGTTTCATTTTTAATAGTTATTATGTTCTGTCTATGTAATTTTTTATTAGTTTTAATTTCAGTTTTAGTTATTTTAGTACATAAACTAAAGTTAAACTACATGAGAAACTAGCTGTTTATCTCATATATATATATATATATATATATATAATTTATAGTGTGGACTTAGAATAAATCCAAAACCGAGAGTAGATGTTGTATCTCAAACTAATCAAGATGGTGAACAACTTATTAAGAGTTGTTTGTTGTCTGTAATGTAGTCTGTACTTGTGATTTGAATTGAATAGAATCAGTTTAAATGAATAAATCAGAATCATGTGTGCACACAGTGTCAGTAATCCAGTTTCCTCTTGTCCAGCCACCATCACCAGCTCTTCAGAGAATGACGACCGCAGCGGCTCCAGTCTGGAGTGGGGTAAAGAGGGCAGCATAAGGAGCTGCGCTCAGCATGTGCGGCCAGACACGTGCTCTCCGGTGGCCGAGGAGGAAGCGTCAACATCTGGGACCGGTGTACGGAGCATCTCCACCACGGCTAAGAAGACTTCAGGAGCCGTAGGGTCCGAGGGCCCCGTCCAGTATCCCACGCAGAACACGTCCAGTCTGATGATGCCTCGGCCGAACTCAGTCGCAGGTAAGAGAAATCCGTGAGAGCAGCAGAGCACAAAGCATCAGGGTCGTCCTGGGATTTTTGAGGCGATGACTGACGCGTGACTGCTGGAATGAAGCCGAGCAGAGACTCATGGGAAGACATTGCCACCAGTTTAAGAGTGTGTGTGTGTGTTGTAGATTGTGAGAGCTCATTATCAGGAGGCACATTCTTTCTCCTGTTGCTCCTTGAGGAAGCAGATACGTCGGGCAGCTGTTGTGTGTGTGTGTGTGTGTGTGTGTGTGTGTGTGTGTAAAATCAATCTCTCTTGTGTTGTGTCACCGCATTAGCCGCTGTTGGATATGTGCTTGTTTTTATGCAAGGATATGAGAGAGAAAGAGGGAAAACAGGTGGAACAATAAATGGCCCACAACATACTTTGAGCTCCATAAATAACTGGATATTCACATCTGTCTTTCATTGGAGGGAATGAGGTGTTAGTGTGCAGTCATAACCGTTTCTAGAGCAGAATGTTGTTCTCTGACCCGTTCATGTGTATCCAGTCAGGCATCGTCAAATTTACAGCTGTTTAAATGACTTCAAAAGGTCAACATAGTTCTTCCTTCAAAATAACCACCACATGTATTTCAGACAGGAAGAGAAGGATAGGAAAGAAAATAGCAAATGAGGTCTCTTAAAATGTGAAGTGTAGAATTGATGTGTCAGCAAACAGAAATACAAAAATAATGCTTCCAGAACACCGCTGTCTGCCATTGGTCTAGCAAACAGATAGCCCCGCCTCAAACTCATGCCATTGGTTAAGCCAGTGTTGCTATGGCTATGCAAAAGCTGTTTTAAAAAAGTAGACAACTTAATTACACAGCCTCCTAAGGTACATCATTTTGCCCAAATCCCAGAATCCATTGCAGTCACCTTAGTAAATCCTACATCCGATAAATATTTTGAATCAGTTTAAATGAATGAATCAGAATCATGTGTGCACACAGTGTCAGTAATCCAGTTTCCTCTTGTCCAGCCACCATCACCAGCTCTTCAGAGAATGACGACCGCAGCGGCTCCAGTCTGGAGTGGGGTAAAGAGGGCAGCATAAGGAGCTGCGCTCAGCATGTGCGGCCAGACACGTGCTCTCCGGTGGCCGAGGAGGAAGCGTCAACATCTGGGACCGGTGTACGGAGCATCTCCACCACGGCTAAGAAGACTTCAGGAGCCGTAGGGTCCGAGGGCCCCGTCCAGTATCCCACGCAGAACACGTCCAGTCTGATGATGCCTCGGCCGAACTCAGTCGCAGGTAAGAGAAATCCGTGAGAGCAGCAGAGCACAAAGCATCAGGGTCGTCCTGGGATTTTTGAGGCGATGACTGACGCGTGACTGCTGGAATGAAGCCGAGCAGAGACTCATGGGAAGACATTGCCACCAGTTTAAGAGTGTGTGTGTGTGTTGTAGATTGTGAGAGCTCATTATCAGGAGGCACATTCTTTCTCCTGTTGCTCCTTGAGGAAGCAGATACGTCGGGCAGCTGTTGTGTGTGTGTGTGTGTGTGTTGTTGATCGGCTTCTGTCTTTAGCATCAGTTCCACATTCCTCAGGCTGGTCCGACTGATCACGTGATCTTTCCCGCTTTTCTGTCAGTTGGGTGAATCTCACAAAAACACGTTGTATTTCACACTGAACTCAAGAGAAAGAAATAAGACATTTTGAGCACTAAGATTTTGGATTGTGGCATTATTTTTATGACAATTAAACATTTTTCACAAAATTTGCATTACTGTAATGCTAAAAATCTAATTTCCATTGCTGTAATTTGATAATATATTTTTTACAATTTTATATTTCATGGTAGTATTTGTTGTACTGCCTTTAAAGTCAACATGATAAATCATTGGAAAATTATAATACTGACATTTAAAAAAATATATTTTATTTCTAACAGTTTTTCTAAAACAAAACAAAATCCCACGAACTGTATACAAAAAGTATGCTATACATGAACTAACCACACAAAAGAAAATACAAAAAACCCCACCCAAACACGCACCTGATACACACCTTAAAGAAAGTCAAACAAAATATTAAAAATGGAATAAAATAATAAAATATCGAAGTTATCTGTAACATAAGTGTCCAAACAAATTTCAATTCTTAAAAAAATAAGTGAGGAAGGGGCCCCAGATTTGATCACATTTTTTTTTGCATGCATCAGTCTTAGAGAAACAAATCATTTCAAGCTTGAGGGCAGCAACCATTTCTGCCTGCCGTTTATGAAATCTGGGTGGTAGAGTGGACTTCCACTCCATCAAAATCACCCTTTTAGCCACCACCATACCAAACATAAGAGACAATAGCTGAGAATGTGTCAATGCTAATGTATGGTCAGAACATCCAAACAAAGCTAATTCAAGATCTGGACTGATATCTTCTCCAAAAACATTTGAGTACCACCGTAAAAAATATTCTTCCAAAACTCAGAAATCTCAAGGCAAAACCAAAAAATATGAGCATGCGTCCTATCTGAGCACTTGCATCGATCACATAATAGAGAAACTGAAGGGTAAATTTGATTGAGTTTAGTTTTGGTATAGTGTAACCTATGCAGCACTTTAAACTCTATAAGTTGAAATCTTGCATTAGTAGAGCAGGTAGGGCTGGACGATATGGCCAAAATTGATATCACGATATATTTTCTCTTTTGAAATATTAATTCCAGTGTGATTTTCCCATGCTACTTTAAGGTAATCAGAAGACACTGCAAAATACGAGACAAACAAAGCAACAAACTCTGTCACCAAATGTTTGGTCATAGGAATAATACTGAAATATTGAATAAATTGATTATTTTATTCAAATAACAAAAAATGGTTGCATATTGTTATGTTTTATTTGCATTTATTTATTAAGTACATATAAAGTATAAATATTATGAAATATTATGAAGAAACTTTTTTGTGCATCGATGAATTAATGTTCACCAATGAATAATGCACAGTAAGACTTATTAAAGTGAATAAGATCTGTTAGGCATATTAGATGCATTTGAATACATACAAAAAATTTGACATTCATATAAAACACCCGCGCCACGTTTTGATTTTGAAACGTGCAGTGCTCATGTTTATTCAACGAAGTCAAACGGCACAAATAAATCAATGTATGGGAAACACTGGTAATGTATATCGAAATATCGGAAATGTGTTTAAAAATCATATCACCGTTATTGAAAAAAATTATATCGCGATACATATTGATATTGAATTATTGTCCAGCCCTAAGAGCAGGTATGAATTAGTTTCAGTCCTTCCTCCCAAATCTCTTTTGAAATATTAATTCCAGTGTGATTTTCCCATGCTACTTTAAGGTAATCAGAAGACACTGCAAAATACGAGACAAACAAAGCAACAAACTCTGTCACCAAATGTTTGGTCATAGGAATAATACTGAAATATTGAATAAATTGATTATTTTATTCAAATAACAAAAAATGGTTGCATATTGTTATGTTTTATTTGCGTTTATTTATTAAGTACATATAAAGTATAAATATTATGAAATATTATGAAGAAACTTTTTTGTGCATCTATGAATTAATGTTCACCAATGAATAATGCACAGTAAGACTTATTAAAGTGAATAAGATCTGTTAGGCATATTAGATGCATTTGAATACATACAAAAAATTTGAAATTCTATTGAATTTTATTTAAATGCTTGTTAATTGTAGGCAATATTTCTGTATTTATAGTGCATTGTAGTAATAAGAAGTTTGTTCTAAAAATAATGCTCACAATGCTTACAAATTTAATGATCCTAAAATAGCTTAAATCAATATTTGTATCTATTATTATTATTATTAATATTATTATTCATTTTATTTTGAAGTGAAATGTGACCTTGAAATGTTGTTGATGGGTTTCATGATCATGATTTTGAAGATTTGTCTTGATTTTATTTGGTGTTTGGATAAATATGAGGCTTGCATTTCTCTCAGAACCTGGTTTTTGTGATGAAGGCTGATGTTTTGAAGTCTGCAGAAGCTGTTGAGGTGTTTGTGTGAGAGAGAGATGGATGTGTGTGTTTGGTTTTGGTTTATTGTGGTGTGTGAGTATATTGTGTAAGGTAAGGTGCAGAAACGCTTCTCATAAAAAGCCGTCAGTCATTAAACTAAGCGAGTCGACGTGAAACAATAAAAACCGGTTGGCACCATAAAGCATCTGCAGTTGTCAAGGTTAGAGTATGCTTTCTTTAGTGTGTGTGTGTGTTCACATTTTCATTTTGTACACCTGCTTGCTTTTTCTCATGTCACACCCTGCTTGGCCTCGGTGAATAAAGCATTAATCTTTACTGAGCGTTTGATAGATCTGTAACTTCACTGCATTCACAGCTGCCAACGTCGTGTTACCACACACACTCACAAAATACAGCTACAGATGGGAACAGGAATTTTATGATTCTGGTTCCAATTTATATTCTGCTTAATGATTCTAATACTGTAATGTCTGCATTAATGATTCTTTTTTTTTTTTTTATAATAATTTATGTAATTTAATTTTTTTATTTTTTATTAATTTGAAGAATTATTTATAAATTTTTTAAAGTAATTTTAAACTCAATAAAAATAAGAAATAAAACATTTTTGGTTGCAGAGGTTTATTTTATTTGAATTTTATTTTATTAATTTTATTATTGAAGTACCATCAGAGCGCTCTTCTGAATGTATATCTTTAACTACACGTTGTCATATGAACAACCTGTCAGTTTGCATTTTGATTTAAATCTTACGTTTAAACAACATAACAGTTTTTGGTTCATTTTGAATGAGTGAAGAACCACTCTGAAAGATTCAGTCAGTGAATCAATCATTCAAATGGCACTCAGCATTGATTCATTGCAGATTCAGTGCTGCAGTAAACACTGTCACAGTATTGTAATATGCCATTCTGTCTATGCAAGAATGCAGACATTCAAGAATATCTTTCAGTTAGGGGTGTGCGATATGACGATTTTTGATCGTGGACGATAAAAATGTCTCCA